GGGGGGGGCGATGCGTGAGGGGGGGGGGATGCCTGCAGGGTGGGCGATGCCTGCAGGGTGGGCGATGCCGTGGGGCGGGTGGTGCCGTGGGGCGGGTGGTGCCGTGGGGTGGGCGCCTCACCCCTTCATCTTTGCTTTTTGCCCTCTAGGGTTGATAAGGAATTTGTGCCCTGGGCAGGCCAGGGCAGAGTCACATCGCTGGGGTTACTGCGATGCAGTGGGGACACGTGGCACCGGGGGAGAGCAGGGACACATTGCCGGTGAGGGGGGCAGCCACTGGCCCCCCGGGACCCCTTCCCCAGCTGCTTGCTGCCCACCCGCGGGGGCTGATGCTGGGGAGGGGTCGTACCCACCCTCTGGGTTTGCATGCTGGGGCCGGAGGGGTTTCCCCTCCCTTCGGTTTCAGCATCCATGACGTGGGTTTGCAGCTGTGGTGAGGCTGCTGGAAAAAGGTTGAGGGCTGGAAAAACACTGATGAAAGTGTCAAGAAAGGAGCAGGGATGTAGAAACCACCTGAATTCAGAAAGAAACTTAGAACAGACCAAGACACAGAGCTACAAACTGTGTGGGCTTTGGAAGCGTCACATCCTTCCTGCTCAAAGGCCAGATCCTGGAGGCTGCTACCCGGCCCTGCTGTTTTGCTGAGAAACGGGGTTTGCCCTGCCCAGAAGGAGCCCAGGGTTTGTGCCGGGAGCATTCAAGCATTGTCAGCTGCAGTTCCGGCCCTGCAGGTTTTCTGGCCCTGCTGGTAATTTGAATGCAGATCTGAGAATTCCTGCCCCCATGTCACTTGTCCCAGACACACAGGAAATGAAAGATGGGGGTTTTTTTGTTGTTTTCTTTTTTTTCTTCTCCTCAGCTACTTCCCTGGGTGGTCCTTCAGGTTAACAGGGCCCCTCGCTGAGGTTAATGAGGTTTGTTAGGTCGTGGTGATAATTAAGGAATTGCTGTGAGAAGTAGAGGGGCCTGCAAGGATGGGCAAGGGGATGGATGGATGGATGGATGGATAAAGGAAGGTGAGGGCTGGGTGGGCATTTCAGGGGGAGGGTCTTAGTACCCCAGCCCCAAGGCCTGATATATGGCACTTCTGAGAAGCTGCTTGCAGGAGCTGGGGGGATGTCCCTGTTTTGGGGTGCTGGGGTCCCTTTGTGGAGCACCACCTGCCTCTCTGGCTGGTGTGGAGGTGAAGGGACACCAAGGTGTCGGGATGGTGGCCGGGGGCAGCCACAGGGACCGAGGGCAGCAGGTTCCCCTCTTTGCCCTTTGTTTCCAAGTGCCCATCCTAGGGATCCCATTTCCTGCAGCTCCCTGGCACAAGTGGGATCCCAACTCGTGTCTCACCACCCTGAGCTCACTGCCAGCTGCCCACCAAAACTCCCACCTCCCTGCCTGCACTTCCAGGCTTTTTTGGTTGGTTGGTTGTGTTTTCTGTGTGTGTTTATTTGCACCTGCACAGAGGAGATGCTGGACAACGGGGAGGCAAAGCTCAGCCCACGTTTGGGGTGAGTACCAGCAGGCAGGTGCTGGACCCCCGGCTCTGTGGGAGGGTTTGGGGGTTTGCTGGGGTTTTGTTGGGCTCGCTGAGGGCCTGCAGGGCTCTGCTGCTTGCTCCCTGCTTGCTCCTGGCAGTGAGCTAGGAAACAAGGGCTCTCTGGCCGCTGCCCAACAGCCCGGAGCTGTTGCTGCAATCCTGCGAGCTGCTTGTCCCCGGGGCCCTGTCCCTGCCCCTCCCTGCTCCCCAGCTGGGTGCGTTTACCCCAGATTTGCTCTCCTTGCCTTCACAGACCTCACTCCCATCCTGTGCCCGCTGCTCCTGCAGGCACACAGCAGGAGCTGGTTCTGAGAGGCAGAAAAAGCTCCAATTGCCGGGGCGCTGCTCCTCCCATTCCAGCTGCATCCTGATCCTAACAGGGATATGAGATTGGGATCACCCTGGGTTACTCTGGGCTGCAGAGTATTCCCTGGAAGACACTCCCCAGGATTTTGGGCATGTGTTGGCTGTTGTGGTGGGGGGGAAGAGCTCCGGGAAGGCAGGAGGGTGTGAACAGTGAGCCTGTGCCAGATGGGCTCCAAATCCTCCCCTGGGGCAGCAACGTGCCATGGGGAATTTGGGCAGAACCCAGCTGGACCCTGCTCCTGCCGGGGTCAGGGAGAGAGCGGGAAGAAGTGGGAGCTGCTGCCAGAGCCGTGAGGCCTCCTGGGAGGTCAGAGCGATGGGGTCGAGCAGGGCTTGGCTGCCCTTTCACGAGGCTTCTCGACCCCCTCCAGTGGATGGGGACGATTGATCGGTGTCCTGGCAGGCACGGGCAGCGAGCGGCCCCGTTTCAACTGGAGGCAGGAGCCGATTTGTTCTTATGGGAAGCAGCAGAGGAATAAATGATTCACCCGGGGCTCCGTGCCAGAGGTTCTGCAACAAACAACGGCTGTGTTTTGTGGGCAGGATTTCTGACATCTTATTCATGAATGTGGCTTCTTGGCAGGAACCTGATGTTCTTGGGGAGGGAAAAAAGGCTTTTTTTCCCATTCTCGTGGAGACCCAGCCCAGAGGTCTGGAGCCTGCTGAGGATGAGGAGTGTGAAGGCTCCAGCGAGCTGAAAAACGGGAAGCTGGGCTGACCACAACCTTGAAGCTCTGCCAGTTGGGCTGCAGCCAGGATCTTCTGTAGAGGCTTGCCTGGGTCCCTTGGACACCGCTGTAGGCGGGGCGCC